AACCCCTAAACCCCCAAACCCAAAGCTCCTAAACCCTAAAACCAAGCCCTCCTGCAGGTGGCTGCTCCGGGCTCACCGGAGCCCGGATCCGTTTCCTTGCCCGCCGTACGTAAAGTGCGGAGCGGGAGGCTCAGCATTTAGGATTTATTTGAGGTTTAAGGTTTTGGAGTTTAGGGTTTAGGGTTTAGGATTTATAGGGTTTAGGGTTTAGGGTGTAGGATTTATAGGGTTTGGGGTTTAGGGCGTAGGATTCATAGGGATTAGGGTTTAGGGTTTAGGGTTTATAGGGCTGAGAATTAGGATTTATAAGGTTTAGGAGTTTAGAGTTTAGGGTTTAGGATTTAAGGTTTTTTGGGGTTTAGGCTTGAGGGATTTTGGAAAAGTAGGGGTTTAGGGTTGAGGGAGTTGGGAATTAGGGTTTAGGGATTGAAACTTTTGAGTTTAGGTTTGGGCTCAGGGTTCTGGGGTTAGTAGGTCAGGAGGAACCCAAAAACCTTAAACCCTAGGCCAAACGCTAAACCGTTGAATAAGCTGTCTATGCGTGTTGTTGATCGTGGTGTGGGCTTAGGGCTGCACAGGAGTTCAGGCTTCTGGGCTTCAAGCTGTGACAGCAGTTCATGGCACAACGGTTGTCGGATATAGTTCAGGCTCGTGAAGTCACGGCGCTCATTCGCGACCCCGTCGACCCCATGAATTGTAACAGTAGTACACCGGGCGTCTGGAACACCTAAACTCTAAACCCCTAAACCCCTAAACCCTAAACTTAAACTCTAAACCTAAACACTAAACCTAAACCCTATAAACCCCAGACCCCGATTAAAGCCTTAAGCCCTAACCGAAACCCTCAACGCTAAACCCTAAGCCCTAAACCCCAGACCCCAATTAAAGCCTTAAGCCCTAAACGCTAAACCGAAACCCTAAGCCCTAAACCTAAACCCTAAACCCCTAAACCCTGAGCCCTAAACCGACGTGTTCCGAGGTATCCCAACAAGACTCCAGCCGGGAGATTCAAGGCGACTTCCGCCGTGCGCGCGAGGTTTCAGGGGAAGCCATGCGGCCTTTCGGGCTCATAGGGTTTAGGGTTTAGGGGTTTAGGGGTTTAGGGGTTTAGGGTTTAGGGTTTAGGGGTTTAGGGTCTAGGGTCTGGGGTTTAGGGTTGAGGGTTTAGGGTTTAGGGGTTTAGGGTTTAGGGCTTAGAGTCTCTGGGTGTTGGGTTTAGGGTTTAGGGTTGTAGATGTGGGTAGTTTTCTAAAAATTGTAATCTCTTTTTAGGGTCCTTACTATAAGGGTGCCGTACTATTTTGGGAACCGAAAAAGGGACCCTAATATAGACAGCTACCCATGTGTTTTCATTGTGTTTCATAAAGGAGTCGAAGAGGTCGGAGCTTAAAGGATCTCGTGCATGGCTTCGGGTCTCGGGCGCTGGATTCCGGGTCCTCAGCGCTTCTTGGGGTTTAGGGGCTCTGGACTTAGGGTAGGGGCTCCATGGGCAGGCAGTGGTTCCAATTTTTCCACAGCAGTCTGCAGTGAAGTTTTATTCGACGGCGCAACCCCTAAACCCAAGAATCTAAACCCTAGGTCACTTGCAGGGTCCTTCGTGCCTTCTTGGGATGTGCGGGGACCTGACAGGGATTTCTTTTCAGAGAGGCAGTTGTTGGAGTCCAACACTCATGCTCAGGGCTACTTTTTGGGGTTTAGGGTTCAGGGTTTAGTGTTTTGTTCCGATCTACTCGGCGAATTCTGGTGGGACGTCGGGTTGACTTTGCGTGGGATACAGGATATAGAGGCTCCCTTAAACCCTAAACCCCAAACCCGAAACCCCGAAGCCTCGAGACACGTTATTCCGGAGTCGTCCTTTGGAACTCGGCACTTGTTCAGGACCTTGGCATGAGGGGCTAGTTGGCTAAAGTTAGGGTTTAGGGTTTATGTTTTAGGGTTTAGGTTTTAGGGTTTAGGTTTTAGGATTTAGGGTTTAGGGTTTAGGGTTTAGGGTTCAGGGTTTAGGGTGCCACAAGAGCAGAAACAGCATTGGTCGAGGTTGTGATACCGAAGCATGGTCATAATGACACCTTGGTGACTCTGGTGACGACCATGTCATGCTCTGGAACAGGGCTATGTTGCTGTGATGTCAGTTTGTGTTTGACAGCGTTTTCACGATTGACCTGATGAACATCAACACTTATTGCAACTGCAACGCACCTACATCGCTGAAGCGCGAAGGTCATTGCTCTAGATTATGATTTCCATGCACCCGTCGTTGGAGCCGTCGGTGTACGTGCAGTGAGATGTAGGTTAATGGCAAGTGTCCATATTTTCCCGTCTTCGGCGGGCCCGGTTGTTCCTAAACCCCTACACTCACAACCCTATACTACAACACCCTAAGAAGCCCTAAAGTGTAAGTGAATACGAGTGTAGAGCTGCATCTTTCCTGGTCGAAACAGGGCTGTTGAATTTCCGGCTTAGGACAAAGACTACCGATTTTTATGATGTTGCCCGAGTCCCGACAAGAGCACATCTTCTTTATCTATGTAGGTATATAATATCTATCCTATATGTTTGCCTATTTGGCTGCCTTCGACCAACAGCAAAATGCTGTGAAGCAGGCCGTCGTCAACCTCACCCGTACCCTCGCCCAGAAGTTCAAGAAGGTCGCGCCAATCTGGGTCTCGCGAAACAGGCGCTGCTCCCACCTTTCCCTCCCAGCCGCAACCCCACACCCTAATGTACGGTTGATGATATAAATCCTGCATTACGCAGAATAAGGAATATACCAGAATTTCCAAATTTTAGGGTCCTCAAGGTAATGCAGGATTTATATCATCAACAGGTGGAAACCTGAAGAAGCCCTGGCCTATATCCCCAAAACATTTAGGATATCAGGGGGTTTCTTAATCAGGTTCCCATCTTGTTCCTATTTTAAGCTTTAAACCCTAAACCCTAAATCCTAGATTGAAGCCTTAAGCCCTAGACCCAGAACCCTGTATTAAGCCTTGAACCCTAGACCTTGGCCAGAATCCTAATCCCGTCGAAACCCGCAACACAGCAGAAGTTTCTACCACCACTTAAACCGAAGCCGCTTAGGGTTTAGGGTATAGGGTTTAGGGTTTAGGGTTTAGGGTGGGTTTTATAGGGTCTACGATTTAGGGTTTAAGCCTAAAGCCCAAACCTCAAATCGTAAACCCGCGACCCTAAACCCTGAACCCTAAACCCTGAACCTCAAATTCAAATCCTAAACCCTAAAGCCTAACAAGATTTCAAGCTCCAAGGGAAGGAGCTCCAATCGACCCGGATCCGATAGTTCATGCTCGTGACTGGTTGTTTGCTTTTGACTCGTTGCTTGGAGTTTTAGGTTTTCGGGGTTAGGGGTTTGGGGTTACTACCCTAATCCCTAAACCCTAACCCCTAAACCGTAAACCCTAACGGTTAGGGTTTACGGTTTAGGGTTTAGGGATAAGGGATATAGGGTTTAGGGATTAGGGTTTCAGGTTTAGGGTTTAAGGTTTAGGGGTTTAGGGTTTAGGGATGAGGGTGGAGGGGCTGCGGGTTTGGGTTTTAAGATCTATGGCTTGCAGTCCAGGAGCAGACACTGCCAAATCCCAAAGCCCAAGTACGCGTGTGTGTATATACATACATATATATATATATATATATATCAGTTTAGGGCTTAGGGTTTATGTGTATATATATATATACACATACACATGTATCACTCTATATGTGTATACATATCCTCCAGAACACAAACATCCCAGCGGCGGTCTCAAGAGAACCCAAGGATGGTTCAATAGCTCAGAGGCCAGGTGCTTCGGGATTTGGGGTCTAGGGGTTTAGGGGTCCTACACTCTCAAGTTTTTAAACAGAAAATCCGACTAGTCGTTCACAGGCGGGTGAAATGGCGTGGCATCACCGAAGGCGCGTTGGCCCTGTGGTCGGGAAAGGGCGCTTGCAAAGTAGGGATTGGTTGAGGTTTCAGACCATGGTTTGACTGGGCCTTGGAGTACCATACTTTTAGAATTGTTTTATGGGACCTGTTCCTTAAAGGAACCATTATCGAAACAAGGTCTTTAGGGTTTTCTCAACGGGTTTGCAATGACCATGGGTTTTGTAGGGTTTGGAGAGCCCCAGCTCATTACTCATCCTTCACCCCATGTTCAATTTTTCAGACCTCACTGTCTCATCTGAAGAAACCACAGAATTCATGTGAAGAGACCCGAAATTTCGAAAGACTCTTCGGCAAAAATATGTAGCACTTCGGCAGCTCAGACAACGCCCCAGAAGCTAAACCATAAAGTCTGCGAAGAGCCCTAAACCCGCTAAACCCTTAAACGCTCAAAAAGAGCCGACACTCGACGCACTAATATGAGAGCGTCGGAATGATTAGTGAATTAGTCAGAATAGCCCTTGCAGTCCTAATATGCCCTTATCTAATCAGAATAAAGTATGTTTCAAAAGCCTGTTCTATTTGTTCCCGGCAAACCCCACGGGCCGTGCTTCTAAAGCCTTCGATTTTGGGGCTAGAGTTTAGGGTTTCAGCGTTGAGGGGCTTAAGGTTAGGGTTTAGGGTAGGAATCCTCATATAGCCTACATGGCATAACTAGACGACTCGGGAGCCGGAATCCTCTTGTACCTAATCTTCGCTGATTCACTATATGTAGATGTATGTGTGTATATGTATATATCTGTTTGCTTATTTGTTCAATTTTATGTATTTGTTGTGTGTATATATATATATATATATGTGTGTGTGTGTATCAAATATTATGTACATATCTATATACACAGATGTAGAAAGCAGAAATTAAGTGATCCTCTTGTAGCTCACACTACTCTTATTCATGAACCCACAAACAGATCACCCAAACCCTAAACCCTAAACCCTAAACCCTAAACCCTAAACCCAAACCAACCCGGAGCCCTAGACCTAAACCCTTTCAAGGTGACCTTCTTGTGGTTAATGCGCCGGCGCCCCCCCGGGCTTCCTGGGTAGAGCGGCTCAGTGCTTGGCGTTTGCAACGCGACGTTTGAGCTTTGGTTCGTGTAGGGTTTTGGAGCTCAGGGTTTTGGAGCTTTGGGTTTAGGGGTTTAGGGTTTAGGGGTTTTGGGTTTGGGGGTTTAGGGTTTACAGTTACAGGGGTTTAGGGTTTAGGGTGGGCTACGCAGGGTTTAGCAGGGCTTAAGAGTGTGTGGTTCCAATCTTAGATTCTAAGACTGTCTGGTGCTTAGTAGGGAATGGGGGAATGGATCCCAAGGATAGTCCCTTAAGGTCCCTTATAGTTGTCCCTATAACCCATTCCCCCATTCCCTACTAAGCACCAGACAGAAGAAAGGCGTTAAGGTAACCCTAAACCCTAAACCCTAAACCCTAAGTTGAGCGTTTGGCTTTCTTTTTCGGGCCGGGGCCTCGGGGTTGTGTCCATTTAGGGTTAGGGCTTCAGGGTTTAGGGTTTAGGGTTTAGGGTTTGGGGTTTTGGGCTTTGGGTTTAGGTTAGGGCTTCAGGATTTAGGGTTCCTAGGGGGTACGGGTAGGGGCAAGGTATCCTTGTACCGACCCAGAGAGCCGGGATCCTTGTGATGCAAGGACCTTGAAAGCTACATTACCATCTCAACCCTAAACCCTAACCCTAAACCCTAAACCCTGTATTAACCCTCAGCCCTGACTATGTATTTAGTTTGTGAGTTTATACTATCATTTATGAACCCCTTACCGTCTGAAACCTTCCATATACGTGGATTCTAAAGTTGGGTGAAGACGTTGGGGTAGAAAGGCATGTTTGGCTGTGGTAACATGGTTGAGCGTGCATCTGGAATGTGCATGTCCGGGAGGGTAGCAAAAATCGGTGTGTACAGGTCTTCATGAGAGTGTGCATGTGTTTCCTGCGCGGTTGCCTGTGATCTATGCTGCTGTTTCATGGTGTTTCGGCGTCTCGTCGCAAGTACAGCACGTCTAATTGTAACTTATGGATGGCAGGATCATCTGGAGACAGCCTTTAACCCCAGCCGGCCCTAAACCCTCAGCCATCTACCGATCAGTTAAACTAGAAAAGCCTCCTGGCCCGATGCCCTAAACTCTACACCCTAAACCCTAAACCCTAAACCCATGATGCCGCCAAGAATCCCTCCACACTGAACCATACCGCTCCACGGCCCGGCATATCATGACCCTATAAACCCTGGCCCTGAACCCAAAACCCTAGAGGCCGCTTGGGAGTACACCTCAAACCCCAAACCCGAATATAAAGGGCCTGAATAATTCAAATAAGGTTTGGGGGTAGATTATACTAGAGTTATAATAAGGACCCCCCCCCAAAACCCCATTCTTCTTATTAAGACTCCTAAGCCCTTGTAGTATCCCTTATAGAACCCTTAAAGGAACCCTTTCAGGAGCCCTTTTAAATTTAACGGAAACCCCACTCCAATTGTTAAGGCCCCAAGCCTTATGCAGACCCTCCCTAAACCCTAAACCCTAAAACCCTAAACCCTGAACCCTTTGAACCCCTTGAACCCTATACCCGGAATCCTGGGCCATGCTGGGGGCTCTTGAGAGCACGCCGAGGTGACAGGCCAAGCCTCCTGACTGGAAACTGACCGGTTAGGATGGCGACGATAATGCCTAGGCGATGCCTCTTAGATTTTTTTTAGAATCGCGCGAAACTGCAAGCAGCCGCAGCCTATAGCTGACGTGAGATCCGCGGAGCTCCAGTATTGCCAAGGACTCATCGCTACCCATAGGCCCTAAAGTAGTTCCTGTTTGGGGTTCATATTTAGGAGCCTATAAGGTAGTCCCAAGAAGGAACTACTATGGGGCCTATGGGTAAAGCCTATAAGCCTCAGCTATTGGAGTCTCGAGTGTTTCGTCTGTTCCCGAAGATAGACCTAAATCCTAGACCCTGCAATGTATGGGGCCTTAATAATTAGAATAAGGGTTTGGGATTTGGGACCCATTATACCATAGTTATGATAAGGAACCCCTAAATTAGTATTGGCAATTATTTAGGCCCATATATTATTAGCCCCTGACCCTGACATAGCCTGGCCAGGCTGCTTGCAGTTGTAGGGTTCGCGGTAGTAGCCGTGCTCCACCCCAGCAGGATGTCAGGCCGGAATTCATAGACAGCGAAACAGCTTGGGGTTTAAGGCTTAGGGTTTACATGCGTGCATGTTAATGTTTATATGTGTGTGTACTGGTGCATATGTATGTTATACAGTGTGTATATATATATATATATATATGTGTATGTCTATACATCATTCAGTGGTTCAGGGTATTTAGGACTCGGGTTGCTGTAGACAGGCAACACTCCTTTGCAGGCTTTTGCTTTGATGCGATAGGTAGGTAGCTCATCTTGTTTTGAAAGGTGCGCCTCCTCCTTCGAGCGGGTGCTATAGATTTGAATAACGAGTCATGACGTTTATTTCTAGTCCCTGTAATATAGGGGCTTAAATAAATACCAATGCTATTGTAGGGGTTCCTTAGTATAATTACAGTAGAATGGGTCGACAACCCCTATTCTAATCATTGAGGCCCCTACATTAGTCACAGTCGAACACACCCCCAAAGGCAATTACATAGCTCTTCGCAGCTGCATTGTGGTGTCGGGTCTCCGAGCAAGTTCCAGACATCCAATCTCATACACTTAGTTCCCCAATACCCAGCCTGTAAAGTTTTTGGGTTCTTATAATTTAATAGTAGTCTGAAAGTTGAACCTTTTTATTTCCCTGGCTTATTGGGGAAGTAAGTACAAGATGCAGTTGCCGAAAGGTTTCTATAGGGTATACGGGTTACCAAAAAGAGTTATAAGAAGGGCTACTGGTTATTATGGTTAGACAGCTCCAACCTTAGGTAGTATTATTAGGGGTACCCCTTAAAGGGTACCCCTTCTGAACCCTACTTTTGGCTCGCTTAAAAGGGACCTTATTGAGAGGGTCTATATCCCCAAGG